AACAGACAAACTTGGGCTGAGTTTCCTCCCCACACAAGAGTCGAGCCCTGGATGCTGAGTTTCCACGCGATCTATACTCCACCGAGCAATCAGGTCAGTAGAACAAAACCTTAGCCCAAGTAACCTAATTTAACCTAACCTAATCTAACCTAACCTAAGATCACCTAATTTAACCTAACCTAATCTAACCTAACCTAAGATCACCTAATTTAACCTAACCTAATCTAACCTAACCTAAGATCACCTAATTTAACCTAACCTAATCTAACCTAACCTAAGATCACCTAATTTAACCTAACCTAAGATCACCAAATTTAACCTAACCTAATTTAACCTAACCTAAGATCACCTAATTTAACCTAAGATCACCAACGCAACGTGCCTTAATCTAACCTACCCTTACTAACCTAACCTAACCTAACATTAGAATAGCTTAAAGTGATATAATCTTAAAGTAGATTACCTGAAGATTAGACACCTCATCCCAGCTAATTTCACCTGATGATTGAACACCCTAAACACCTGGCTGAAGAGGGTAGGCTAGGTTAATTAAGGTTAGATAAGGCAAGATTAGGTTAGGTTAGTCTTTAATCATCAGGTGAAACAATCTGGGTACGTCATCAGGTGATTCAACAACCTTAACTAGACGTAACCAACGCCTCCGTAGAGTAACGTGACAGACAGAGCGCGAGGGGCACTGTACTGTATATACCCCCTCCCGAGCCTACCAGTGACGGCATAACAACGAAAAGTAGGTCAGGTAAATTAAACACCGAAAGTAATTGGGTTACGCCCATATTCACCCTACAGGTAGATCCTCCCCTTCCCTCCCACTACACTAACAAGAGACACACCCCTCACCCTTCGCTCCTCCCACAACACTAACAAGAGACACACCCCTCACCCTTCGCTCCTCCCACTACACTAACAAGAGACACACCCCTCACTCCCCTTACCCTTCGCCCTCCCACTACACTAACAAGAGACACACCCCTCACCCTTCGCTCCTCCCACAACACTAACAAGAGACACACCCCTCACCCTTCGCTCCTCCCACTACACTAACAAGAGACACACCCCTCACTCCCCCTCCCACCACTAACAAGACACCCCCCTACCCCCACCAGCCACTTAAAAAGTTTGGCATTGCACCCAGGGGGATCCTTCCTGTACTACATTGTTTGGTGGTGTGGGCAACATGTGCTGGTGCAGTGGCAACATGTGCTGGTGGTATGGCAACATGTGCTGTTGTGGCAACATGTGCTGGGTGCGGTGTGTGGCAACATGTGCTGGTGGTGTGGCAACATGTACTGGTGGTGTGGGCACATGTACTGGTGCGGTGTAAGCAACATGTGCTGGAAAGTGGTGTGGGCAACATGTGCTGCGGTGTGGGCAACATGTACTGGTGGTGTGGGCACACAAAAGGTAGCAACATGTGCTGGTGGTGGGCAACATAAAAGGGTGGTGTGGGCAACATGTGCTGGTGGTGTGGGCAACATGTGCTGGGGTGGTGTGTGGGCAACATGTGCTAAGTGGTGTGGGCAACATGTGCTGGTGGTGTGGCAAATATGTGCTGGTGTGTGTGGCACATGTGCTAAAAGGTGTGGCAACATGTACTATGGTGTGGGCAACATGCTGGTGGTGTGGGCAACATGTGCTGGAAAGGTGTGGGCAACATGTGCTGATAGTATGGCAACATGTGCTGGTGGTATGGCAACATGTGCTGGTGGTGGCAACATGTGCTGGTGGTGGCGGCAACATGTGCTGTGGTAAAGGCAACATAAAGCAGCAGGGCAACATGTGCTGGTGCAGGTGTGGGCAACATGTTGCGGTGTGGCAACATGTGCTGGTGGTGTGGCAACATGTGCTGATAGTATGGCAACATGTGCTGGTGGTATGGCAACATGTGCTGGTGGTGTGGCAACATGTGCTGGTGGTGTGGCAACATGTGCTGATAGTATGGCAACATGTGCTGGTGGTATGGCAACATGTGCTGGTGGTGTGGCAACATGTGCTGGTGGTATGGCAACATGTGCTGGTGGTCGGGGTCCTGTGGTTGCCCACATAAACCACAGGCAGATGACAACGCTCCAAGAACACCACACTGGCGGGAACATAATTACGTCACATCAATAAACCAACAAAATAAAAACGTCTCCTGAGTCCCCATTATCTACAGGGCGTCACAATAACTCCGTTTAGAACACAATTATAAATAAATAATCACCGATAGCATGAAAAAAAGTATCTCGATAATGGAGAAATAACAATAACGAAGAATGCAAAATAAGGGAAAAAACAATAATAGAAGAAATATCCATAACATGAAACGAAGTAAAGATTAAAACAATCATTATCCAAACTGAGGAACACCCAGAAATTTAACTATTCTTAATATTTTCCAAATATTTGTGAGTGAAAAAATAAAGCGTTACGACAACTTTTCCGATCAGCGACAAGAGAACGTCAGCACCAACAATGTCAAGTGTTTGCACCTGACGAGTAAAGTTTTCATAAATAAGGGAATATAATCTTGATAAATAAAGGAGTATAATCTTGATAAATAAGAGAATATAATCTTGATAAATAAGGGAATATGATCGTGATAAATCAAAGGAGAATATAATGGGATTCTAGAACGATTTGAATTCGAACACTACAAAAATGTATATATAAATTAAAAACTGCCATTAATGTGAAAAATAATTAAGACAAAGTATAAATTAATGACTAAAGCTAAAAAATTATTACTGTACTATAAAATAAATTGTGAAAAAATAACCATAAAACTTGTAGCGAGTTAAAAATAATAATAATGCAGAAAAATAAACTCCACTAATCTACAAACAGGAACAAAAATCACAAGAAAAATCACGAAAAACAAATTGACGAATATGATTAAAGCACAAAATGAAAGATTTAAAACAACATGACGTCACAGGTGAAAAGAAGCCTGATGGAGTAATAATATTGATAATTAATAAGCAAGTCCAGGTTAGATGATGATGGCCGAACAGGAAGATAGAATGCAAGAATAAAGACACAAGACACAAGCACACGAGATAAATAGATAGAATAAGAAGAGTTGTGTATTTACCCTCAGCACGTCATCAGTCAGGGAAGGAAGCTGTAGTCTACCTAAACGTTGCTGGCGAATCACAAACTTAAAAACAACTCCAGAGGCAATATAGTTCTCTAATTCGTACTCACAAGTTCCTTATTTCACCCAAATGACATGTTTTCAATCCCCAGATCTCAAGATACATGTAGCCACTCCCCCAAAAGAGAAATTAGGTGGAAAATATAACCGCCCTCGATGGTGTGTGTGACATTCCCTGAGTACGTGATGAGACTGCGCTAGGGCTTCTTACCGTGGAAGTCCGTCTAGCAATGAAGGAGTTATAAAATATTGTGCATGTGCGTGGTAGGAACTTGGCTCAAGTCTGACAATACCAAATCCTCCAGTCCACAGTGACAAATGGACGCTAGAGCCCACACCAATCTCGAGTTGATCTGTGCAAAGAAATATTTTTACAAGGTCGCCTGATGCATGGTACACACAGTTCTCCAGCACCACGAACACAGCGCAATATACCAAGATGCTTGTTTATAATATATGGATTAATATATTTAGTTAGAGTATAGATAATGCTATATAAAAGTATTGTTATAATTGTGTTCTTAATCGTTGTTGTTAATTTAAAAAAAATGTGTAGAAACTTGTTGTTGTTTAATCTAATATCAAGGTTGTAATAATGCAATATTGACTATTATCCATAATTAACTCGAGACCTCGTAACAAACAATCTCTTTCAAGTGACTAATTTATAAAGTTAAATTAGGGAGGAAAACTATAATTCAGTCTATAATTTATTTTCGTTTCAGCAAAAAAATAGACATATTCTGAGGACACAGTTTTGTGGATCAGTTGGCCATTAATTATAATGAGGGAGGCTGCCTCGTTCATTAGTCTGTTCGCCCGTCTCCACTAGAGCTATAGACGACTGATCCCAAGTCCATCGTCACCCTCCAGAAGCTTTTAATAATCTCCACTTCTTCAAAATTAATGCCACAATTTTATTATAACTTTCTGGATATATTTTTAACATTTTGACCTAAATTCGTGCAAAATTTTACCGGGAATTTATCTTAATGTTTCTTCGATGTGTAACGTCAGCATTAACCATCCTAGATATATGCTATGGCCTGTCTTCCAAGCCTCGTGTTATTGCTGCTAATTTTCCCAGCGGTCGTCACGTCGGTGTCTGGCGCCACACGTCCAATAATGAATTTTCTCGCAGACTTTTTAAAACCGGATTGTGAACTAAAAACCACCACGGTATATTATCAAGGTTTTTATCAATTTTAATGAACCGGATCTACAACAACAGGTAAAATAATGGCTCTGGGGTTATTGTTTAAGTAGTGTTTTATGAAGCAACTGTTTACTAGTCTATTGTTGAGGGAGGTTAGGCAGGGAGTGACGGAGGGAGGTGAAGGAGAGAGGAACTACGGGAGGGTGTGAGGGTAAGTGGTAGTGAGGGATGAGATGAGGAATGAACTGAGAAAATGTGCGTGAAGAGGTGAGAGAGAGTGATTAAATGAGAGAGTGTGTGGAGGAGAAAATGAGGATTGAGGATCGAAGTAAGGGAGAGTGAGTGACCAGGGAATAAGTTAGACAGAATAACACTAAACCCTACATGATCAACCACAATAAAACAATATACACAAACCATATTATAAGATCTTAACTGTATAATTGTCTACAACACTTACAAGAAACACGACTAAATAACATGAACACTTACTTAAGAATCTTTTTAACTATATAAACAAAAAAAATATATATATATCTGATAATTTTCTCTTAGTTACATACCCTAAAAGATCTCAATTAAGAGGTTAGGTTCCTCATATTCCAATTGGAAAGTGAAAGGATATCCATTTATAAATTTTGTGGCATCCTTACGAGGTGATGTTGAGGGACACTCGATAATTACCATTGGAGACCCAAGAGATGTCATCCATTCGACTGTTTGACGGCACCAACCTGAAACACAGAGACAACACGTTAATTACCTGCACACACACTGGAGTTAGTACATGTACACACTGGAGTTAGTACACGTACACACTGGAGTTAGTACATGTACACACTGGAGTTAGTACATGTACACACTGGCGTTAGTACATGTACACACTGGCGTTAGTACATGTACACACTGGAGTTAAAACATGTACACACTGGCGTTAGTACATATTGACTCTCACTATAACTAACCTGTAACACATAGATTGGCGTTAGTACACATAGTTACACTGGAGATCGTGAACACATTAGAACACTGGCTCTCTGTAAACACCAGCCTGGAACACAAAGACTGGCGTTAGGATAAAGAGACTGGCGTTAGGATAAAGAGACTGGCGTTAGGACAAAGACTGGCGTTAGAATAAAGAGACTGGCGTTAGGATAAAGAGACTGGCGTTAGAACAAAGAGACTGGCGTTAGAACAAAGAGACTGGCGTTAGGATAAAGAGACTGGCGTTAGGACAAAGAGACTGGCGTTAGAACAGACAAAGAGACGCGTTAGAACAGACAAAGAGACATGCATTAAAACAAACAAACTAGCGCTGGAACATATCAAGTACAGCACATGTTCAAGAGGACGTCCACTCAACACACGAACAACAACAACAAAAGTTATAAAAACAAAAGACAAATTAATCACAAAAATAAAAAAATATATAAAATTATTCATCTTGGTAAGTAACATTCAACATCTTCGTAACATTATTTAACATTTAAAACATCGACAGAATCATACGAGAAAAGACGGTAGATAGATGATTAGTTTATAACATTGTGTAAATAAAGAGAAATAAACTAAGTCTTCAATAGCTTTCTGGTCCATGATATTGTGGATAAATCATCATTCAAAATATACAATGAGAAGAAGAATGTTCATCATGCGGAAGTGGTATATCAGACACCAAATATAGCAGCGTCCTGACAGAATAACCTTGGTATACTGGCTGGCACCATTCACTGCTCTTGAACAGGGGGGGAGGCTGTGTCACAGGGGTTGTGCCAGAAGAGTGCAGGCTGTCAGGGGGGTCTGTGCAGGGGAGAGTTGCGTCAGGAGATTGTGTCGGGGGAGGTTGTCAGGAGGCTGTGTCAGGGGGGAGGCTGTGTCAGAGGCTGTGTCAGGGGGCAGGTTGTGTCAGAGGAGGCTGTGTGTGTCCAGAGGCTGTGTGTCAGAGGCTGTGTCACGAGAGGCTGTGTCAGGGGGAGCCAGGCTGTGTCAGGGAAGGAGGCAGTGTCAGGGGGGGATGAAGGAGGAATGGAGGAGGGGGAGGGAGAGAATGGGGAGGCAAGGAATGGAAAGGAGGGGGAAGGAATGAAGGAGGAGGAGGCTGTGTTAGAGAGTACGAGAGAGGGAGAGACAGAGGTCAACAGCCATATTAAAGATTCTCAAGAGTAAACCCCTCATCACTCCTCTCCTCACCCTCACCTACCTCCCTCCCTCCCTCACCTCCTACCTCCCTCCTCCCTCCCTCCCTCACCCCTCACCCACCCACCTCCCTCCCCTCACCTACCTACCCACCTCCCTCCCTCACCCCTCACCTACCCCTCCCTCCCTCACCCCTCTACCCACTCCTCCTCCCTCCTCACCCCTCCCCACCCCACCTCCCCTCCTCCCCCCCTCCCCCTACCCTCCTCCCTCATCCCTCCTCTCCCTGCAGTGGGTTTGACTAATCTTACTGGATCATACAAACAGAGATAATATGGCATTAAACTACACCAAGACTATCGTAGGTGAATGAATTTACTTTCTACACACACACACACACACACACACACACACACACACACACACACACACACACACACACACACACACACACACCTGGATGAGACTGACACACAGGTACACCAACAGGAAGCGAACATCATCTGGCCTTTTACAAACACATTAACTACTAATAACGATGTTCCTTTTGCACACCCATGATGCTCCAAGGTTACCAGCGGCAGGATAGGCTGATCGGATAGACAAGCAAACAACAAGCAAAGCAGACAAGCAGATCGAAGCAGGAAGAAGCAGGACACAAGCAGACGGGAGACAGCAGAGCAAGCACAAACACACTCACACACACACACACACACACACACACACACACACACACACACACACTCACACACACATAGCGTGGAGGCTGGGGCAGTGTGGCAGGCAGGCAGGTATGTTGGGGGGGGAGGGAGTGAGGTGAGGGTGGGGAGACGGAGGGTGGGGGTGGAGGGGGTGGGAGGTGGAGGGTGGGGAGGTGGGGGAGGCGAGGGGAGGTGGGAGGGGGTGGAATGGATTAGTTGGGAGGAGGAGGAGAGGAAGAAAGAGGGAGGGTTGGGAGGAAACAGGGAGGGTTGGGAGGGAGGAAAGAGGGAGAGGGTAGGGAGGATAGAAGGAAGGGGGGGAGGCTGGCAGGCAAATGCACTTATTTCTTTACTGAAATTCTCTGTGGTGTTTCTCAAGAATGTTGCGGCAAGAGTTAAAGTTTAAGAATTCCTGGCTGAACGATACCTTGCCTCCCTAACTCCTCCTACCTTCCTCTCCCCTCCCCCGCACCCTCATTCTCTCTCCCACCCCCCTTCCCTCCCTCTCTCCCCCACCCTCCTCACCTCCCTCCCTCCCTACCTACCTACTTCAGTAATTTCCTCCCTCCCCCTCTCCCTGTCTGTCTCTGTCTGCCCCCTTCCCACCCTCTCCCCCTACCTGCCTGCCTACCTTCCTCTACAACTACCAGCACAACCACAACTACCAAAACAACAATGACTACAACCAAGACACAACACAAACAACCACACCCACATAAGAATCTAATCCATAACCACAACACAAATTAAACTACAACCACACAAGGATCACAACTATACCAACCACACAACCACGGACATAACACAACCACGCCAACAACGGGATTACAATGACAAATACAGCCAATACAGTAAACTTTTCACAACCACAACCTTGGCCAGTATACAACCACAACTACCACAATTCCTCCCTTAATGTTGTTGTTCCTCCCTTAATACAAGAGCTGTATCTCCCTCCAAGGACAGAATGGAATAACTAGTGGAGGGAGGGAGGGAGGGAGGATGGTAGGGAGGAGGGAAGGGCTGAGAGGGGGGAGAGGAGGAAGGAGGAGAAAGGGAAGAGAAGGAGGTAGGAAGTAGAGAGCTTCGTGAAGGCAGGTAGAGTGCTGAGGGAGGTGAAGGTAGGAAGGGAAGTGAGGGAGAGGAGGTATGAGGAAGGGAGAGCAGGAGGGAAAAAAAAGAGGAAAGAAGGGCAAGCGGGAGAGAAGAGGGGGCAGGAAGGAAAGGACGGGAAGGCAGGAGGGGGAGAGGTAGAAAGAGCAGAGAATGAGAAGGTAGGAGGGAGGGAGGGAGGGAGGGAGGGTAGGAGGGAGAGAGGGAGGTATTGTTGATTTATTTTTAGCTTGTGGAGGTAATAAGGCCTAGCGGACTTTTCTGCCGGATTAATAAACTCTCTCTCTCTCTCTCTCTCTCTCTCTCTCTCTCTCTCTCTCTCTCTCTCTCTCTCTCTCTCTCTCTCTCTCTCTCTCTCTTATACATAAGCGTGAAGGCTTGTTAGGGGCAGTGAGGATACAGCACACTGCAGACTTAACCTTTTTATCGGTACACAAGGAGACAGTGTCTGGGTAGAATAAGGGAGAACCAGCGACCCTTGGGGACAGGAGACGAATATTCTATCCACTCAACCACCGCACCCCTTCTGCACGTACACACATAAATTTACTGTGTGTGTGTGTATGTATGTATGTATGTATGTATGTATGTTAAAGAAAAGAATTATAAAGTAAAAAATAAGTTCAAGGGGGGGGAGCTCCACACCCCCTCCCCTCCCCCCACACCTCCACCTTGACCTCCACCTTGACCTTCAGTGTGAACCAAGGGGGACCCGAGGCTGAGGGGAAGGGGGAGGAGTCTAAAGAGTGTCCACAACGTGAGTGTGACGTAGGTGTGACGTGGACGTGACATCACAGCGCCCCACTAATCAATGGAGGGTCGAGGCCTCGGTGCTGCAAATGTCAGGACCACAATTATAACTCCGAATCCTTAGAAAGTTTCGGACGGTAGAATCTTGGTACGGTACAGTCTTGGTGTGACTTCGACGCCATTTTGCCACCCATCCTCGTTCTGTAGCTTAATTACTGGGTTGGGTTGGGTGTGACTCCTAAACTGAAGATGTGAGAACGCTTCTAATTGGTCCACACTGAGCTTCAGGCTGGTCAAAATGGCGTCGGATTCATAGTGAGACTGTACCGGGTTGGGTCGGGTTCGGGTGGGAGAGAAAGGCATGTGAATAAATGAGTGTGTTTGTCCATCTTCACACACACACACACACACACACACACACACACACACACACACACACACACACACACACACACACACACACCCCTTCCAATACACATACGAACAAACTTCCTCTCTCTAATGACCTGATCTGACCTTACCTGGCTCCCTGATAACACCCCCCCGCTTACCTGGTCAACCTCCACTAAACTTTCAAGTACAAGATGATCCTCCACAAACCACACCAATACCACGATCCCTCACGCATGATCAACATCTATCACTCAGGTCAAGAAAACATTGAAAGCACACCTCAAAAAAAAAAAATAATTTGTCCCTATAACAATACACTATAAGCCTCAATATAATACTTACCTTAAATTACATAATACATTCACAGGAAAAATATATGTACAGTGACTCAAAAATATATCTATACAGTGGGTGATCGATGAATTCCAGAATGAACACTGTGACTCCTGTTGTCTCGGTAGGGTTGTCAAAATCCTCCGTCCGTCGTGTCATATTTTTTCGACACAATTTGGTATAGATAATTTTTTTTGATGATTGTATATGGAAATTATTAGCTCCATTAGTGAAAACATATTAAAAGCAAAATAAAAGTAAATTATGATTATATTGAAATTAATTAATAGAAATAAATGAAAAAGTAT